ATAGTTTTGCATTCTACGAAAATCTTGATAGAGATCAAAAAGTTAAACATAGTGATTTCATCAAATAGTAAGTTGAAATGTAAAAAGAAGATCAAATATAATATGCGTCAATATTTTTCTCTTCTGAAGAATTAATATGTAGAGAAAGAATCTATTACGAATAATGTCTGTAAATATTACTGACATGTTGTCTAGTAAATGTATGTGAATGATACATTTATCCAAATAACATGTTCAATCAGTTACCCCAACTATTACGTTTAATTGTATCAAATAAAAATTATTTTTTTCATAGTATTCACTTGAAATATTCTATTCCATTTGCCGAGAAGTTTTATCTAAGTTCTTTATATAATATTTCTCAAAAAAAAAAGGGAATTTCGCTATTTGTCTTGATATCATGTTGAGACTAGATGGACTATTGCAAACCTTTTCGTGTCATTAATTTCAATAAAAACATTCAAAGATTGGTTGTAGTAACTTTTTAGGACATGATCTTCTAACATGAATGAATTTGTGCATTGTAATTTATCAGTTGTCGAAGATTATTTTGTTTTCGAAAAAGCTTGTATAAGATTGTGAATGGTTTATTTTAATGCTTGTCATATCATATTGCCTTTCGTTAATTAAGCTTGATGTGCATATGTTTTGAAATTGAAAATAGGAACAAGTCATATGAATTTAGATTTGAATAAAATGAACTTTATCGTTTTCAGTTGTAGATTGAAAAGCTGTGGATAATATGTTAATTGTATTTACCGATCTACTTCGTGCTACAAAAGGACAAGCGAATATGAATCATAGAAGAATTTCTTTATTCCTTGTTTTATATGCAGCGAACACCAGTTATTCAACCGACACAAACTGTTCAAACACCAATTCAATATGAAGATAATTCAAATGAATCAGCTCTATGGATAGTCTTTGGTAACAATGCTTTTTTTACAATACTAATGACAGTTGTACCATTAGCATGATTTTTTATTGGAAAATCTATATATGAGTGAATCGTATTTTTGTTGTACAATTAGCAATAAAAAATGAAAGTGTATTTAGCGAAGATTTAAATTGCTCATCTTATTCGCCGTCGTTTACTGAGTATACGGTAAAAATTTCCCAACTACCACGTTTCAGCAGGCTGAGATATTCTCCTATTAATTTTGTTCTTCCAGTCTCAAGGTTTTTGCAAATAAGCCTTAAGAATATTAGTTCAAAAGCATACACATAATATATCGTTCGATAGATTTCGATGTGCTGAATCGAGTGAGACTATAAAGAGTTCAATTGGCCTCAAAAAAATGACACAAGGCTTTAGAAAGTGCGTTTTTCATCCATGAGATCAAAAACAAAGTCGGTTTCAGAGAGTCATACGACTAAATTAGCACCACACACCGCTGCTGTGATCGAGCATTTCAATGAAAAAAAGATCAGTTTCACTATCTGTTTCATATTTGTTCCAATTTATTAAAAACAAAGCAGAGTAATAAAACCAAATAGAATAAATAAAAAGTACACACATCTTAATAGAGTTAAAAGATCTTTACAAAGTTACTGTATTAATACTACAAGTAAAAAAAGTCTTTCATGTCACTGTATCGTTCAAAAGTTCACTTTTAACAATTTTTCATCATCACTTGAAACCACTTTACTATAAAGCTTGCCATCGTTTGTGGCAATTATTTCATGGAAAGCCGCAGTTCCTTTTACTGTTCCTAATTTAGGTAAAGACTTTTTCAATTTTTCTATCTCAAATTTGTCGTAATGAATCAATTTAATGTTTGTAGAAACCTTAGCTATTTTCATCAGCTAAGCGGCATTTGTGAACGATTTATCCGGCTGAAAATTGACTACCTCATCAAATTTTCTTTTCGATGTAGCTCCAATAACATCAGCTATTCCTTTTCTATGTCCTGTTTCTAGGTAAATCCATTTCATTTTAATTCCATTTTTCATTGCAAATTGTTTCATTAGATACATAATTGTTTTGTTTCTGTATTGTGATATAGAAGAATCCGAAATGATGTTGATGATTTTGACGTTTTTTTCTTTGACAAGATCTGTCAATAAATCTTGAATGCCCACCCAGGCTGCTTCGGTCATGTGATTGGTATCGTCACTCATGCATCCGAAACTATATTCTCCTGCTTTCAACCAAATGTGACCAGTTTGAAGAGCAATATGTTGTTCGTAATAGAAGGCTCCTAAGCAGATGGACAAAAGTGCAGTGAGTTCATTAATGAAGTTGAAACAAGATAAATAAATAAAGATTTTCTCACTTCTATAGCTTCTAGTGAACGAAAATGCAAATAGTCGAGATAAAATCGTAAAAGTGATAGGTTTGTTAGTCTCAGAACTATATGAGAATTAAATTCGAGGGCTTAAAAAACGAAGTCGAAGCCGTTTTCATTCATTTTGACGTACCTCTCTCTTCTCTCGCTTGCTTCAAACAATAGTTTTCACTCCAATCTAACTGAATTGTGGCCATATCATCACATTCTTTAGCTTCTTCTTTTGCGATTCTTGCTGCAGAATTTAAAGAAACTTACATCGATTTCACTATTAAATTTTTTTAAGAACGCTTCAGTTGTATCGGTGACCGTAACTTTTATAGAAACGGGAGCAGTAAAATTGGGCAGTTTTTTTTTGTCATTCAGAATATGATAAATTGATATTTTCCTCTTTCAATTCCATTAAATTTTGTTGAAATTCTTTTTTTTTGATCATCATCTTTAATTATTGTAGATAAATCAGATGGTAAGCCATCTAAAGCTGTTTTAATACGTGGAAATTTTTGCTTCAGATGTTGAAGTTTCTCGAATTTCATTTCAGGGTTCAAACATAATACACAAAGGCAAGTGCCCCAACTATCGTGATTTGGTTTCTTTATATAAGCAGGAACGTATCGACAAAATGTATCGTAATCAATATCAATTTTTATATTCACTTCAAATTGTTGATGAAGAACAGTGATATGATTTAATCGATAACGAATTTGATGACCATTTATATGTTTTTTTTTGTCTGGACAAGGTTTTGAAACGTCATCTCTGTTAAAAAATTGTTCAATTTCACTTTGAAGATCAGAAGGTAATGTTTTTTTCGGAAGATTCTGGTTCGATAAATTAATTCCAAATTCTTGTCGCAAATCGAAGGTCGAGCCACGTGGTAAATCATCTTTTTTATCTTTGAGGCGAAGAACAGCTCTTCGCTTTGCCGAAGGACGAGTACTTTTTTCTCAAGTCGAGCAAGGTAGAAAAACTCACAAGTGTTTCTCTACATTTTGTCGTATAACGTAAAATTTTCTAGGAAGACAATATTGAATCCTCCTGAAATTTTTATCAATTGTATAACTTTTTATGCTCTTTATATTGTGTAAATTTCAACAAAATCGATTCAGTCTATCACGAGATAAAGCTAAAGTAAATTTCAAAATGTTTCTCTACAAAGTGAGTCAAAAACCAATTTTTGAAAAAGTTTCCTTGGTTTTCTATAAAATAACAATAAGGAGACTCACACTTTTTTCAATCATTTGGTTACTTGATCCAAGCTCTTTCTTTCGCAGAACGCACTAGGCCTTTAGCTTCATCCGTTTGTTTGCTGGAAAGAGTTTTGTGTTCCTCTACACAAAAAGGAAAAGTGTCTGTAAAAAGGTTTTTGTCATAGACGAACAAAAGAGAAATAAGCATTGTATTCGTGAGTGATATATTTGAGTAGGCGGTCAGACGCTGAACAGAATATGCTATTTACTTTTTCTTTTTTCTTTGTTTTTGTCCCTCAGAAACTTTATTTTTTGTACGACGACTCATTCAAAATCATAGATTTTCTTGCCTTCAGCCTCTCTATCTCAGCGAGCTAATAAGCTATCGGGCTGAAATTTTCTGTGGGAGGCATACTAAGGAAACAAACAAAAAAAGAGACTTTAAGATCGAGCTTTAGGAAACGGATTTCCAGAAGAAATACGTCTAAAATATGATTGTACAACAAAAATACGATTCTCTCATATATAGCTTTTTGGAAAATGATCAGATTTTCAAAGACTTATCATATAAAATTTTGACTCTACTACCATATTTTCGGAGAAATTTTCAGGTATTTCAGTTTTGAAAAAACTGCGTTGTCATTTGCATTAGCATTGAGTAGAACACTTTCATATTACCCAGCATGTCAGATGGCGCTAGTTACCTTCATCTCTTACGTAGTCTAAAACGATCCACTGGAATGAATTAATGATATACCATTGTAATATGATTTTTCCTGGATTCGAATGAAAAAATCCAGTTCTAAAATTTCTTTAGCGTTTTTCTCAAAATACGGTTTCCAGACAGAAAAATTGAAATAACTCCGTCCTCTCTCAAGCTATAACCAATAATTCTTTTTTGTTTTAAAGGTCTTAATGGGAGTAAATTTTTGTCTGAACTGATTTTTTATAGTTGGTTCCTGGACTGAGAAAAGTGGGATTTACTGTCGTTGGACCACCATTTTTTATGCTAGTTTTAAGACCATCCCACTAAAATGCTCATAAAAAATGAATGAGATTGAATTTCAAAATTCTGTTCGGACAAAAGTTGCATACTCACATTGGCCTTAATTTGACACCAACCCGCGCTCTCTACCCCATCTTACGACGAAGTTATATCGATTCTCCTGAAGGCCAAAAATGACCTGTGAATCAGCTGGAAATCCGGTCTAGTGCGACCAATCCATCTGAAATTTTTACCGGAAGCGTATCTCTCCTAGATCACTCATTCCAGAAAATTTCAGCCCAAAAGGGCCATCTTAAGTGGAAAATCTTTTCTGAGGGGAAGGAGGGGTCCCCTGAAGAAATTTCAATCATATCATCACCTTTCATAATAATTGAATTCAATTACTCTTGTGGGAACACTTCTGCGTTTTTCGTGGATTACTTTTTTATTGTTTTTATTCAAACAATAGTAAATATCTTAGTCATAATCTATCAGTTCTTCTTCACCTCCTCGAATGGTTGTAAACTTATAACAAAAATTTCTTCAATAGTGGAAGTCAAATGTGTCATTGGACAACCTTATCCCAGTTTCGCCTAGGCGAACCTTAGATTGGCCTGGAAACAAAAATATCTTAATAGAGTGTAGGTGGTGGGGTGGATGTGGGTATGTGGTCGGGGATGTGGATGTGAATCTTGAACAAAAGAAGACATCCACACCTACACACACATCCACACCTACACCCGCTAACAAGCGTTTTGATTAAGCTTTGCTTTTACTATATATACAAACATTTATAAACGTAGAACGCTATTTTTGGAGAGTTTTTTGTATCATTGAACTTTCGATCCCTCTTCTTTACTTAAAAAGTAAGAATTTTAAAAAAACGCTCTGAAATGCACTGCATCTTGACATGCTCTTTCGAACAAAAAAAAACTTAATTATGTAGTATGAATCTGGACAGAGAAACTTTGCTTCCCAAATGAGCTATTTTTCATCCTTATTTGGTTAGTATCTTCCTCAAACGTCATGATATCGGGCTGCAAATTGTACCATGCCTTCTTTACTACAGTCCCAACATATCCTGAAAATTTCATGCAATTTGAACGTTCCTGGACTGAGATCGATTTCTGAGGAAGGGATCTTAAGCAAGAATCGTAGTTTATAGTTTAATTCTTTTCAATGAAGTTGTTTATTTTTATAAGAAATGCTCCATCAATTCAATATCAATGTTAAGAAGAATTTTAATCTTGCTTGTTTGTTTCTCTCACTCGTGTAAGTCTATCAGCCGATAAACCACTAACTATATCGGTCAATAACTAACACGCTGTTTGCCTATGTGTAACTTTAACTTGTAATTTTCTTTACAATTGCTTCAAAAGACAGGAAATTCATTACACCTGCAAAAAACCTGCTCGTAATTGGAACATTTAGTGTAGAGTTATGGTTTACATTTAATAGTATCATCGTAACATCTTCCAACGTTAAATATGTCGTAAACAAGATTTTCAAAAGGAAAAGAAATTCTTTTTTTATATTTGTCTAATTGATAGTGTGTTTTGCATGGTACAGAAATTCAGTCCAATTTCTAAGGCTTCCCGAACGCTCATGTAGTCTTGAAGTCTCTTCAACTCTGATGAAGGCCCATGAAGTCACCTGAAGTCTTATGAAGTCTACAGAAGTCTCTTAGAGTCTCAAGAAATCTCATGAAGTCTTACGAATTGACATGAAGTCTTATGAAGTCTCATGAAGTCAGACGAAGTCTCGGAAGACCGTTGAAGTTCATAGAAGTCTCTGAAGTCTCTTGAAGTCCCTTGAAGTCTCGTGAAGTCTCGTGAAGTCTCGTGGAGTCTCATGAAGTTTTTCAAGTCTTTTGAAGTTTTCTGAAGTCTTTTGAAAATTTGAAGTCTCTGTTGTCGAAGTCTCGTGAAGTCCTTTGAAGTCTCTTGAAGTCTTGAACTCTTGAAGTCCGTGGTTTCCCCTTACCCACACCCACCCACCCACACCCACCCACACCACACCCACACCACACCCACCCACACCACACCCACACCACACCCACCCACACCCACCCACACCACACCCACATCCATACACTCACCCAAACCGACCCCGACAGCAACACTCATCATCCATGTACCCTCCAAAGCAAGACATCAAATCTAATTTCTATATTTTTTCAGTTACAGAGTTCTAAGACGATCTGATGCTAAAGAGAGGTAGTGTTTACTTCATTCATTGAGGTGACAGCGGAAATCAGACAGCCCTTCTCCCATACTTGCTGCATTACAGCTCCATCGACTTTATGCCAATGTCCTGCTCCGTGCCTTTTGCCTTCGGCCCAGCTGCCATCAAAATAACCGCCCGTTCTATAAGAGAAAACTCCATGTCCTGCTTCTTGATCCTTCACCCACCCACCAGTAAACTTTCCTTCTCCAGACGTATAAGTCCCACGACCGTGACGCTCACCACTCACCCAATCCCCATAATATTCGTTTCCATTTGCCCATTTTCGAACTCCTTGCCCATGAAAGAAACCATTGTGCCAGTCTCCATCATAACTTCCACCATCACCATAGATTTTCACACCCTTCCCTTCCATATTTCCGGCAACCCAGTTGCCTCTGTAGACGTCTCCACTCGGCCATTTGTAAATACCATATCCAGTTCGCACGTCTTCGTGCCATTCACCATCATACTGATCACCACTAGCCCAAGTCCAGACACCATGTCCAGTTCTTTTACCATTTATCCAACTGCCGCTGTATCCGTCCCCATCTGCCCATTTTCGAACTCCTTGTCCGTGAAAGGAATCATTGTGCCAGTCTCCATCATAACTTCCACCATCCGCATAGGTTTTCACACCCTTCCCTTCCATATTTCCGGCAACCCAGTT